TCGATGCCACCCCGCGGTGTCCCCACCCCTCGGGTGACACTCGGTGTCCCCTCCCGCAGGTGACAGCGCTGTGCCTGTGTCCGGAGCTGCTCGGTGACCCCGCGGTGTCCCCATCCCCTCCGGTGACATCCGGCTGTGTCCCCGTAGGTGACAGCTCTGTGCCTGTGTCCCCCCCCCCTCCTCCCGGCAGTGTCCCCACCCTCGGGTGACACTCGATGTCCCCATCCCCCGGGTGACACTCTCGATGTCCCCTCTCTCAGGTGACACTCCGTGATGTCCCATCCCCCAGGTGACACTCTCATTGTCCCCTCTCTCAGGTGACAGCGCTGTGCCTGTGTCCGGATCTCCTCTCTGTCCCCATCCCCTCGGGTGACACTCGATGTCCCCATCCTCAGGTGACAGCGCTGTGTCTGTGCCTGGAGCTCCTCACTGTCCCCTCCCTTCGGGTGACACTCGCTGTCCCCATCCCCCGGGTGATGTCCCCTCTCTCATGTGACACTCTCGATGTCCCCTCAGGTGACAGCACTGCCTGTGTCCGGTATCGCCCACACCCCGGGACTGTCCCCACCCTCCCGGGGTTGTCCCCATCCCCTCCGGTGACATCCGGCTGTGTCCCCGTAGGTGACAGCTCTGTGCCCCCTGCCCCGTACACCCCGCGGTGTCCTCACCTGTCCCCACGATGTCCCCTCTCTCAGGTGACAGAGCTGTGTCTGTGTGCGGAGCTCCTCGCTGTCCCCTCGCTGTCCCCATTCCCCGGGTGACACTCTCGGTGTCCCCTCTCTCAGGTGACACTCCGCGATGTCCCATCCCCCGGGTGACACTCTCGGTGTCCCCTCTCTCAGGTGACAGCGCTGTGTCTGTGTTCGGATCTCGTCTCTGTCCCCTCGCTGTCCCCATACCCCGGGGTGATGTCCCCTCTCTCAGGTGACACTCTGCGATGTCCCATCCCCCAGGTGACACTCTCATTGTCCCCTCTCTCAGGTGACAGTGCTGTGTCTGTGTGCGGAGCTCCTCGCTGTCCCCATACCCCGGGTGACACTCTCAGTGTCCCCTCTCTCAGGTGACACTCCGCGATGTCCCATCCCCCGGGTGACACTCTCGGTGTCCCCATCTCTCAGGTGACAGCGCTGTGTCTGTGTTCGGATCTCGTCTCTGTCCCCATTCCCCGGGTGACACTCGATGTCCCATCCCCCGGGTGACACTCTCAATGTCCCCTGCCCCAGGTGACAGCGCTGTGTCTGTGCCTGGAGCTCCTCGCTGTCCCCTCGCTGTCCCCATCCCCCCGGTGACGCTCGCTGTCCCCATTCCCCGGGTGACACTCTCGGTGTCCCCATCCTCAGTTGACAGCGCCGTGTCCCCCGGCGATGTCCCCACCCCTCGGGTGACATCCAGTGCCACCCCCGCAGGTGACAGCGCTGTGCCTGTACCTCGCACACCCTGGGGTTGTCCCCGCTCCTCGAGTGACACTCTCGATGTCCCATCCCCCAGGTGATACTCATTGTCCCCTCAGGTGACAGCGCTGTGTCTGTGTCCGGAGCTCCTCGCTGTCCCCTCGCTGTCCCCTCGCCGTCCCCTCCATTCTCTCGGGTGACATTCTCAATGTCCCCTCAGGTGACAGCTGTGTCTGTATCCGGAGCTCCTCGCTGTCCCCTCAGTGTCCCCATCCCCTCGGGTGACACTTGATGTCCCCATACCCCTGGTGACAATCCGTGATGTCCCATCGGGTGACAGTGCTGTGTCTGTGTCCGGATCTCCTCGCTGTCCCCTCTCTCAGGTGACACTCTCAGTGTCCCCATCCCCCGGGTGACACTCTCGATGTCCCCACAGGTGACAGCGCTGTGTCTGTGTCCGGATCTTCTCTCTGTCCCCTCTCTCAGGTGTCACTCTCGCTGTCCCATACCCTGGGTGACACTCTCAATGTCCCCACAGGTGGCAGCGCTGTGTCTGTGTCCGGATGTCGCCTCTGTCCCCTCCATCCCCCGGGTGATGTCCCCTCTCTCAGGTGTCACTCTGCGATGTCCCATCCCCCGGGTGACACTCTGATTGTCCCCTCAGGTGACACTCTGATTGTCCCCTCTCTCAGGTGACAGCGCTGTGTCTGTGTCCGGATCTCGTCTCTGTCCCCATCCCCCGGGTGACACTCGCTGTCCCCATCCCCCGGGTGATGTCCCCTCTCTCAGGTGACACTCATTGTCCCCTGGGTGACACTCTCAATGTCCCCACAGGTGACAGCGCTGTGTCTGTGTCCGGATGTCGCCTCTGTCCCCTCCTTCCCCGCGGACGCCAAGGAGCGCGCGCAGCGGCTGCTGGAGGCGTGTGCCGGACGCAGCGTGGGTCAGTGTCACCTGTGTCACCTGTGTCACCTGTCATCTGTGTCACCTGTCATCTGTGTCACCTGTGTCACCTGTGTCACCACCCCTGTGTCACCTGTGTCACCTGTCATCTGTCATCTGTGTCACCTGTGTCACCATCCCTTTGTCATCTGTCACCTGTCACCGTGTCACCTGTGTTACCTGTGTCACCTGTGTCACCCGTGTCATCGTCACCTGTCACCATGTCACCATCCCTGTGTCATCCGTGTTACCTGTGTCAACTGTCCCCGTGTCACCTGTGTCACTACCCCTGTGTCACCTGTCACCTGTGTCATCTGTGTCATCTGTCACCTGTCCCCGTGTCACCATCCGTGTCATCTGTGTTACCTGTGTCAACTGTCCCTGTGTCGCCTGTCACCTGTGTCACCCGTGTCACCTGTCACCGTGTCACCTGTCCCCGTGTCGCCATGTCACCTGTGTCACCTGTGTTACCTGTGTTACCTGTGTCACCCATGTCACCTGTGTCACCTGTCACCTGTGTCACCGGTGTCAACTGTGTCACCTATGTAACCTGTCCCCCGGTGTCACCCCCGGTGTCACCAGTGTCCCCTCTGTCCCCTCGCAGGCGCGTACAGCGCCAGCCCCGGGATCCCGCTGGTGTCACCCCAATGTCACCCCAGTGTCACCACTGTCCCCTCCCAGGCGAGTACAGCGCCAGCCCCGGGATCCCGCTGGTGTCACCCTGTGTCACAGCTGTCCCCAATGTCCCCTCTGTCCCCTCCCAGGCGCGTACAGCGCCAGCCCCGGGATCCCGCTGGTGCCATCCCCTGTGCCACCCCCCTGTGTCACCCCTGTGTCACCGCTGTCCCCTCTGTCCCCTCACAGGCGCGTACAGCGCCAGCCCCGGGATCCCGCTGGTGTCACCCCTGTGTCACCCCAGTGTCCCCTCTGTCCCCTCACAGGCGCGTACAGCGCCAGCCCCGGGATCCCGCTGGTGTCACCCCTGTGTCACCCCAGTGTCCCCTGTGTCCCCTCGCAGGCGCGTACAGCGCCAGCCCCGGGATCCCGCTGGTCCGCGAGCACGTGGCGCGCTACATCCAACGTCGCGACGGTGTCCCCGCCAACGCCGACGACATCTTCCTGTCCACCGGGGCCAGCGACGCCATCGTGGTACGGCGACATTGGGGACATCGGGGACAACCGGGAGATCGGGGACATCGGGGAAATTGGGGACATCAGGGACACCGGGACCACTGGGGACAGTGGGGACACTGGGGACATCGGGGACAACACTTCAGGTACATCGGGGACAATGAGGACATTGGGGACATCAGGGATACCGGGGACACTGGGGACGCTGGTGACATCGAGGACACCGGGGACACTGGGGACACCCAGCCAGTCCCAACCCCCCCTCAGGCAGGGGACACAGGGGACACTGGGGACACTGGAGACACCAGGGATATCGGGGACACCGGGGACACCGGGACAGCCCCAACCCCCCTCGGGCAGGGGACACCGGGCGCGGTGCCACCTCCGGGCGCGGTGCCACCCCCAGCGCCGTTCCCACGGGGACCGGCGACAAAGGGACACTTGTGCGGAGCTTGGCAGCGACCGCGGGAACGGCGGTGACAGTGACAGTGACAGTGACAGTGCCAGCTCAAGGGGTGGCACCGCGGGGACAGCGACAGTGACACAGTGACAGGGACAGTGACAGTGACACAGTGACAGTGCCAGCTCCGGGGGAGCCCCGCGGTGTCGCCAAGGCCGCGGGGTTGTCGCGGTGACAGTGTGTCCCTTCGTTGTCACCGTGTCCCCATCGTGCCAACCCCGTGGTCCAGCTGTCCCCTCACTGTCCCCATGTCCACACCAGCCGTGTCCCCATGATGTCCCCATCATGTCCCCATGTCCATCCCCACACGTGTCCCCTCATTGTCCCTATGATGTCCCCATGACCACACCAGCCGTGTCCCCATGATGTCACCTGATGTTCCCACGGTGTCCCCACGCTGTCCCCTCACTGTCTCCACAGTCCCCTCAATGTCCCCAAAGTCACATCTCACTGTCCCCTCAATGTCCCCTCACTGTCCCCAATGTCCCCAATGTCCCCAATGTCCCCAATATCCCCAATGTCCCCAATGTCCCCTCACTGTCCCCAATGTCCCCAGACCATCCTGAAGCTGCTGGTGTCCGGCTCGGGCTCGTCTCGTACCGGGGTGCTGATCCCGATCCCGCAGTACCCGCTGTCCCCAATGTCCCCAATGTCCCCTCACTGTCCCCAATGTCCCC